TCAAGAAAAGCAAAACGTGTAGTGGTTTTTACTGATAAAGAGCCGCATAACGAGATTTATACTAATCTCAAAGATAATCAAAATTCTGATCAAAACGATGAAATGGCTTTGATCCGGTATTCACAACAATCTGATTTTCGTCGAGAGATAATTAAAGGATCCATGCGTTCCCAAAGGCGTAAAACTGTTATTTGGGAATTTTTTCAAGCAAAAGTACATTCCCCCCTTTTTTTTGATAGAATAGATAAACTTTTTTTTTTTTTTTTTGATATATGGGAGCTAAAAAAAAATTTTCTTAGAAATTTAATGCGAAAAAAAAAAAAAAAAAAAAAAAAATTTGATAAAAATGAAGAAGAACAATCAAAAATAGAAGAAAACAGACGGATAGAAATTGCAGAAACTTGGGATAGCTTCCTATTTGCTCAAATAATAAGAGGTTCTCTCTTAGTAACTCAATCTATTCTTAGAAAATATATTATATTACCTTTATTGATAATAATTAAAAATAGCATACGTATGTTATTATTTCAATTTCCCGAGTGGGCTGAGGATTTAAAGGATTGGAAACGTGAAATGCATGTTAAATGTACTTATAATGGGGTTCAACTATCCGAAACAGAATTTCCAAGAAACTGGTTAACGGATGGTATTCAGATAAAAATACTATTTCCTTTTTATCTTAAACCTTGGCATAAATCTAAATTTCAATCATCTCAGAAGGCTAAACTAAAAAAAACAAAAGACAAAGGAGAAAAAAATGATTTTTGTTTTTTAACAGTTTGGGGACTGGAAACTGAAATACCGTTTGGTTCTACAAAAAAAAAGCCTTCTTTTTTTGAACCTATTTTTAAAGAATTAAAAAAAAGAATCAAAAAATTAAAAACTAAGTCTTTTCTGGTTTTTATTTTCAAAGAAAGAGCGACAATTTTTCTAAAAGTCTCAAAAGGAATTAAAAACTGGATTATCAAAAACGTGTTTTTTCTAAAAGGAAAAAAAAAAAACCTTTCAAAACCAAATCTAATTCCATTATTTGGCCTTAGAGAAATATCTGAATTAAATGAAACTAAAAAAGATTCAATAATGAGTAATCAGATGATTCATGAACTATCTGTTCAAAAAAAATACATGGAGTGGACAAATTCTTCACTCAGCGAAAAAAAAAAAAAAATTTTGATTGATAGAATAAAGACAATTAGAAATCAAACAGAAGAAATTTCAAAAGAAAAAGAAAACCGAACTACTAGAACTACTAGTTGTAACAAACCGCGTTATGATTCTAAAATAATGGAGTCATCAAAAAAAAGTTGGCAGGCATTCAAAAGAAAAAATACCCGATTAATTCGTAAATCTTTTTTTTTTTTGAAATTTTGCATTGAACAACTGTCTATAACTATTTTTCTAGGTATCATTAATATTCCAAGAATTACTACACAACTTTTTTTTGAATCAACAAAAACAATTCTTGATAAATATATTTACAAGAATGAAGAAAATGGAGCAAAAATTAATAAAAAAAAAAAAAAAAAATACCATTTATTTTATTTCGACTATAAAAAATGTAATATCCAATAAAAAAAATTGTAGTTATGACCTATGCTCTTTATCACAAGCATATGTATTTTACAAATTATCACAAATTCAAGTTAGTAACTTTTATAAATTAAAGGCTGTTCTTGAATATAACATATGCATAACATCCTTTTTTGTTAAGAATAAAATAAAGGATTTTTTTCAAGAACAAGGACTCCTTAATTATGAATTGAAAGATAAAACCTTTTTTAATTCGGAAGTCAATCCATGGAAAAACTGGTTACGAAGTCATTCTCAATACAATTTACCTCAGATTGCATGGGCTAGATTAGTAACCCAAAAATGGAAAAAGAAAATAAACCAGGACTCTACCGTTCTAAATCGAAGTTTAACAAAAGCAGATTCATATGAAAAAAACAAATTTGATAATTACAAAAAACAAAATTTTTTTGAGACCAACTCATTGTTAAACCCAAAACATAATTTGAAAAAAGATTATATATATAATCTTTTTTGCTACAAATCTATTAATTCTACAGAAAAAAAATTTGACATGTATATAGGCATTGCTCTAGATAATTGTTTAGTCTCTTGTTTTCTAGAAAAATATAATATTAGGGGTATAGGGGAAATTCCGCATAGAAAATATTTGGATTGGAGAATTCTCAACTTTTGGTTTAGAAAAAAAGTCAATATTGAGCCCTGGGTTGATACCAAGAGTCAAAAAAAATATATTAAGACTAACGTTCAGAATTATCAAAGAATTGATAAAATAACTAATAAGGATCTTGCCAATCCAAAAAGTTTATTTTTTGATTGGATGGGAATGAATGAAGAAATACTAAATCGTCGTATAACAAATTTTGAATTGTTTTTCTTTCCAGAACTTTTCTTATGTTCTAGTACATATAAAATGAAACCGTGGGTCATACCAATTAAATTACTTCTTTTCAATTTTAATGAAAAAAAAAAAAATGTTAATAAAAAGACCACTTTAAATAAAAAAGGTTTGATACCATTAAACGAAAAAAAAAAACCTTCTATTTTATAATCTAAATAAAGAAGAAAAAGACTCGGCAGGTCAAGGAGAGCTTGAATCAGATAAAGAAAAAAAAAAAAAAAAAATTGAAGAAAATTATGAAGAATCGACGATAACAAAACGTAAAAATAAAAAACAATACAAAAGCAATACCGAAGCGGAACTTGATTTATTTCTCACAAGGTATTCGCGTTTTCAATTGCGATGGAATTGTTTTTTTTTTATCAAAAAATTCTTAATAATGTAAAAGTATACTGTCTCTTGGTTAGACTAAAAAATCCAAACGAGATAGCGATATCTTCTATTGAAAGAGGAGAGATGAGCCTAGATATTCTAATGATTGAGAATAATTTCACTTTTGAAAAATTAATGAAAAAGGGAATATTGATTATTGAACCTATCCGTTTATCTGTAAAAAACGATGGACAACTTATTATATATAGAACCATAGGTATTTCATTGGTTCATAAAAATAAACACAAAATAAGTAAAAGATATAAAAAACAAAGCTATATTGATAAAAAAAATAATTATGATTTCTTTGTCCCTGAAAATATTCTATCCCCTAAACGACGCAGAGAATTTCGAATTCTAATTTGTTTCAACTTAAAAAAAAAAAAATGCGAGAGATAGAAAAATTCAAGATTTGATACGAATATTAAAAACTTGACCACAGTTTTGCATAAAAAAAAAGATCTTGATAATGATAAAAAGAACCTAATTAAATTAAAATCCTTTCTTTGGCCCAATTTTAGATTAGAAGATTTAGCTTGTATGAATCGCTATTGGTTTAATACTAGTAACGGAAATCATTTCAGTATGATAAGAATACAGATGTATAAGCGATTTAAAATTCATTAATGATAGATCCTTTTTACTATATATAATATATAAGTTACGGTATATGAAAACAATTATATGCACAAATTTGAGGAATTATTTTAAATTAAATCCTTTATACATGAGATTCATTTAATCAATGACATAGATACCAATCAGAGCAGCTTCATAAATAAATTAAAAGAATCCTCCTTTTTTAGATCTAAATTTAGACTTTTTTTTATAAAATTAAGAAGTTGATAATTAAATTCAGATCCTTGTACAAAAAAACTACCATTATTATTACTGATCAGTAAAATTCATATCTTTCAATTCATATTAAAAAATTAAAAAAAGGAAGGATTTCTTTTTATGATAAAAAATGCATTCATTTCATTTCAAGAAAAAAAAGAAGAAAGCAGGGGATCTGTTGAATTTCAAGTATTAAGTTTCACTAATAAGATACGAAGACTTACTTCACATTTGGAATTGCACAGAAAAGATTATTTATCTCAGAGGGGTCTACGAAAAATTCTGGGAAAACGTCAACGACTGCTGGCTTATTTGTCAAAAAAAAATAGAGTACGTTATAAAGAATTAATTAATCAGTTGAATATTCGGGAATTAAAAACTCGTTAAATTCCAAAATTGTGAATTAGTTAATTTTTTAGATATTGAATTTTTTGATAAACTTCTTTTTCAGCAATCTAATTCATGCCAGAACGAATAAAGGAAAAACTTATGAAGAGACCAGTTACAGGAAAAGATCTTATGATAGTCAATATGGGACCTCACCACCCATCCATGCATGGTGTTCTTCGCCTAATTGTTACTCTAGATGGCGAGGATGTTGTTGACTGTGAACCCATATTGGGTTATTTACATAGAGGAATGGAAAAAATTGCCGAAAACCGCGCAATTATACAATATTTACCTTATGTAACGCGATGGGATTATTTAGCTACTATGTTTACAGAAGCAATAACAGTAAATGGACCAGAACAATTGGGAAATATTCAAGTTCCTAAAAGGGCCAGCTATATCAGAGTAATTATGCTGGAATTGAGTCGTATAGCTTCTCATCTGTTATGGCTTGGCCCTTTTATGGCAGATATTGGGGCACAGACTCCCTTTTTCTATATTTTCAGAGAACGAGAATTTGTATATGATCTATTCGAAGCTGCCACCGGTATGAGAATGATGCATAATTTTTTTCGTATTGGAGGAATAGCGGCTGATTTGCCTTATGGTTGGATAGATAAATGCTTGGATTTTTGTGATTATTTTTTAACAGAGGTTGTTGAATATCAAAAACTGATTACACGAAATCCTATTTTTTTAGAACGGGTTGAAGGCGTTGGGATTATTAGTGGGGAAGAAGCAATAAATTGGGGTTTATCCGGACCAATGCTACGAGCATCCGGAATACCATGGGATCTTCGTAAAGTTGATCGTTATGAATCTTACGATGAATTTGAATGGGAAATTCAGTGGCAAAAACAAGGAGATTCATTAGCTCGTTATTTAGTACGACTTAGCGAAATGACAGAATCCATAAAAATTATTCAACAGGCTCTCGAAGGACTTCCGGGGGGTCCCTATGAGAATTTAGAAAGCAGAGGCTTTGATAGAAAAAGGAATACAGAATGGAATGATTTTGAATATCGATTCATTAGTAAAAAACCTTCTCCTACGTTTGAATTATCGAAACAAGAACTTTATGTAAGAGTTGAAGCTCCAAAAGGGGAATTGGGAATTTTTCTGATAGGAGATCAAAGTGGTTTTCCTTGGAGATGGAAAATCCGACCGCCGGGTTTTATTAATTTGCAAATTCTTCCTGAACTAGTTAAAAGAATGAAACTGGCTGATATTATGACGATACTCGGTAGCATAGATATAATTATGGGAGAGGTTGATCGTTAAAATGATAATTTATGCAACAGAAGTACAAACTATAAATTCTTTTGTTAGGTTGGAATCTTTAAAAGAGGTCTATGGACTCATATGGATATTTGTCCCTATATTTTCTCTTATATTGGGAATCATAACAGGTGTACTAGTAATTGTGTGGTTAGAAAGAGAAATATCTGCAGGGATACAACAACGTATTGGACCTGAATACGCCGGCCCGCTGGGAATTCTTCAAGCTCTAGCCGACGGGACAAAACTACTTTTCAAAGAAGATCTTCGTCCATCTAGAGGAAATACTCCTTTATTTAGTATTGGACCATCTATAGCAGTTATTTCAATTTTACTAAGTTATTCTGTACTTCCCTTTAGCAATCACCTTGTTTTAGCGGATCTCAATATCGGTATTTTTTTATGGATTGCCATCTCAAGTATTGCTCCGATTGGACTTCTTATATCAGGATATGGATCAAATAATAAATATTCTTTTTTAGGTGGTCTGCGAGCTGCTGCCCAATCGATTAGTTATGAAATACCATTAACTCTATGTGTTTTATCAATATCTCTACGTGCGATTCGTTGAAACATAAACGTTTATTTTGACTATTCTGTTTATTCTAGACGAATAAGTTAAAAAACGGACTATATATATATATTTATTTATCTTTCAGGTTAATCTTAATAAAAGTAATTTGATAGTTATATATGAGTGAAAAAAACTGCTTCTAAATTAGCAGTAAAAATAAAAATTGAATCTCATTTCCTATGTACAAAGGTTAAACGAAAATAAACATAAGCGTAAGAATAACTTTACCCCAAGGTTGGTTGATTAGTCATCCTGGCTTGAAGCGGGTTAAAAAAAAAGATTAACCATATGACGTTTTCACTATCAGTTATAGTTATATAGATTAACATACATGTATTACAAAGTGAGCGGCAATTAGGTAAAATGAGTGGATGCTTAGAAACACCAAAATACACAAAGAATTTGTAATAGAGATTAATCAAATTGAAAAAGGATATTTATGCATAACATAAGATAACAAAAAAAAGAAGGTTAATTGGGGCTTGAAATTCGTAGAAATGATCAGACAGTACTCCCCAAGATTCCGATTCAGAGTATGCTCCTATCCACCGATAAATGTAATGACTATCAGAAACGAAATAATCCTTTATTTTTTAAGTCCACCAACTTTATTTTTTCGAAAAAAATAAATAAGAAAAGGAACGAAACAAGGATATTTATTTTCATATATTTAGAAAATAAAATAGACTTTATGTCATGAATAAGAAACTAATAGGATGTCTAATTCTTTTTCGTAATTGAAAACTAAGACGGGCGGAAATACATATTTTTACGTTTTACTAAGGAGTATTTTATTAAAGGATTCAGTTATTACTCAACAAATAGAAATTTAAATTTGTAAAGGATGAGATGAATTCCGAAGCGCTTTTTTTATTCTTAGAATTTTAGCAGACAGAATTCCATTGGTATAATTCGGGACCCCGGATATATTTTTATTTAATCCATTTTAGAACACATCATATCGATATAAATAATACTAATCCGGTCCTTAGATTTATTTATGGCCCCCGAGGAGCCGTATGAGGCGAAGACCTCATGTACGGTTTTGTAATAGCGGTGAGAATAGTAATGTTATCACCGACTATAATTATCTAACAGTTTAAGTACAGTTGATATAGTTGAGGCACAATCAAAATATGGTTTTTGGGGATGGAATTTGTGGCGTCAACCTATAGGTTTTATCATTTTTCTAATTTCTTCCCTAGCAGAATGCGAGAGGTTACCGTTTGATTTACCAGAAGCGGAAGAAGAATTAATAGCGGGTTATCAAACTGAATATTCCGGTATCAAATTTGGTTTATTTTACGTTGCTTCTTATCTAAATCTATTAATTTCCTCATTATTTGTAACAGTTCTATACTTAGGCGGTTGGAATATTTCTATTCCATATGTATCTATTCTGGAGCTATTTGAGAGGGATCCCATTTTTGGAACAACAATTGGTATCTTTATTACATTAGCTAAAACTTATTTGTTCTTGTTCATTTCTATCGCAACAAGATGGACTTTACCTAGGCTAAGAATGGATCAACTATTAAATCTTGGATGGAAATTTCTTTTACCGATTTCGCTTGGTAATCTATTATTAACAACTTCTTTCCAACTCTTTTCACTCTAAATTGAAAATGAATCCAACATATTCTTTAAACAAGAGAAAGAAATAAAGATCAAATTATTCATAGATAATTACAATATGCTTCCTATGATAACCGGGTTCATGAATTATGGTCAACAAACCCTACGAGCTGCAAGGTATATTGGTCAAGGTTTCATGATTACCTTATCCCACACAAATCGTTTACCTGTAACTATTCAATATCCCTATGAAAAATTAATAACATCAGAACGTTTCCGCGGTCGAATCCATTTCGAATTTGATAAATGCATTGCTTGTGAAGTATGTGTTCGAGTATGTCCTATTGATCTACCTGTTGTTGATTGGAAATTGGAAACTAATATTCGAAAAAAACGATTGCTTAATTACAGTATTGATTTTGGAATTTGTATATTTTGTGGTAATTGTGTTGAGTATTGTCCAACAAATTGTTTGTCAATGACTGAAGAATATGAATTTTCAACTTATGATCGTCACGAATTAAATTATAATCAAATAGCTTTGGGTCGTTTACCAATGTCAGTAATTGACGATTACACTATTCGAACAATTTTGAATTCACCTGAAACAAAAAATGGGTAAACCCATTAATTTTATTAAAAAAAGAATCCAAAATGGTTGAATTATATAAAGAATTTAATTAAAAATTTGTATTGTATTTATATAATAATATTAAGTATTTAAGGCGCATTCTTTTAATATAATATATTCGTAATTACTTTATTGAATTCTTTAAATGGATAGGTTGAAAATAAACTTTAGAATAAATAAAGAATAAAAAAGGCGAAACTGTCTAATAATTGTATCTACCTCAATTCATATCCATTAGCTTCTAATTTTACTCTATTAGAAACATATTTAAAACAAATTCCCCGGTTAAATTAATAAGGTCATGAAAAGGATTTCGATTTTTTTCTTATTTTAATAATATAATGGATTTGCCTGGACCAATACATGATTTTCTTTTAGTTTTTCTGGGATCCGGTCTTATAATAGGAGGTCTGGGAGTGGTATTACTTCCCAACCCAATATTTTCAGCCTTTTCCTTAGGATTTGTTCTTGTTTGTATATCTTTATTGTATATTCTATCAAATTCCCATTTTGTAGCTGCCGCACAACTCCTTATTTACGTGGGGGCCATAAATGTTTTAATCATATTTGCTGTGATGTTCATGAATGATTCAGAATATTCCACGGATTTAAATCTGTGGACTGTTGGAAATGGGATTACTTCATTGGTTTGTACAACTATTCTTTTTTCATTAATTTCTACTATTCTCGATACGTCATGGTACGGGGTTATTTGGACTACAAGATTAAACCAGATTTTAGAGCAAGATTTAATAAGTAATAGTCAACAAATAGGAATTCATTTATCAACAGATTTTTTTCTTCCATTTGAACTCATTTCAATAATTCTTTTAGTTGCTTTGATAGGTGCAATTTCTGTGGCTCGTCAATAAAAAAGGTTCTAATTAGTAAAGACCAAAGAAAACTTTTTGTATGTTATGAAATTTTTTTTACTAATATAGGTTTTATTCGTACTTTTTTTATATTTTAATTGATTGAATCCCGTGAATTTTTTTTATTATTCATATTGAAATGAATCAAAATTAATAAGGAGTTGCTAAATGATACTCGAACATATACTTGTTTTGAGTGCCTATTTATTTTAGATTGGTCTTTATGGATTGATCACGAGTCGAAATATGGTTAGGGCTCTTATGTGTCTTGAACTTATATTCAATGCAGTTAATATTAATTTCGTAATATTTTCTGATTTTTTTGATAATTCTCAGCTAAAGGGGGATATTTCTGCATTTTTGTTATCGCAATTGCAGCCGCTGAAGCAGCTATTGGATTAGCTATAGTCTCGTCAATTTATCGTAACAGAAAATCAACTCGCATCAACCAATCGACCTTATTAAATAAGTAGCATAAATAAAAAAATTATAGGTTGAAATTTGCATATATGATAGGTTATTACTTACTAGATTATATTTCTAGATTATATTTGTGAAAATCTAAGAAATCAAAGTATGTTAGCCCGATTTTTTATCAATTGAGCCGGAATTAATTAAAAAATTCTATTAAAGGAAATCATTGCTTCATCTAGTATTTTAATATATCATTTAGTTAGAAGTTTACTAGATTGAAAATTTATGACATTCAAAAAACTATAGATCCTATGTCACATTCAGTAAAAATTTATGATACCTGTATAGGATGTACTCAGTGTGTCCGAGCGTGCCCTACAGACGTATTAGAAATGATACTTTGGGATGGATGTAAAACTAAGCAAATAGCTTTCGCTCCAAGAACCGAGGATTGTGTTGGTTGTAAGAGATGTGAATCTGCCTGTCCAACGGATTTTTTGAGCGTTCGGGTTTATTTATGGCATGAAACAACTCGAAGCATGGGTCTAGCTTATTGATACGTTACCGAAAACCTCATTTGAATAAATTTAGAATACATTTTATTTTTTTTATTGACAAGTACTCGTACTCAAAAAAGTGAAATTATATTTTTTTTATTTATATATTTTTTTTGAGTACGCGTTCTTTGGACCTGGTGTATCTTGTCTTTACCACGAATGATTTTCTTTGGTTAACAATGATTGTTGTTTTTCCAATATCGGCCGGTTCGTTAATGTTATTTCTCCCGCATAGGGGAAATAAAGTCAATAAATGGTATACTATATGTATTTGTATATTAGAACTTCTTCTAACGACCTACGCCTTTTGTTATAATTTTAAAATCGACAATCCATTAATTCAACTGTCCGAAGATTATAAATGGATCAATTTTTTTGATTTTTACTGGAGACTGGGAATAGATGGACTTTCTATAGGAACGATTTTACTGACGGGATTTATTACTACTTTAGCTACTTTAGCGGCTTTTCCAGTTACTCGGGATTCCCGACTATTCCATTTCCTTATGTTAGCAATGTACAGCGGTCAAATAGGATTATTTTCTTCTCGGGATCTTTTACTTTTTTTCATCATGTGGGAATTAGAATTAATTCCCGTTTATCTACTTTTATCTATGTGGGGTGGAAAGAAACGTCTGTATTCAGCTACAAAATTTATTTTATACACTGCAGGAAGTTCTCTTTTTTTATTAATAGGCGTTTTAGGTATAAGTTTATATGGTTCGAACGAACCAACATTAAATTTAGAACTATTAGCTAATCAATCCTATCCTATAACACTCGAAATACTATTTTATATTGGATTTCTTATTGCTTTTGCCGTCAAATCACCGATTATACCTTTACATACTTGGTTATCTGATACCCACGGCGAGGCACATTACAGTACCTGTATGCTTCTCGCTGGAATCTTATTAAAAATGGGAGCATATGGGTTGGTTCGAATCAATATGGAATTATTACCTCACGCCCATTCTATGTTTTCTCCTTTGTTGATGGTAGTCGGTACAATCCAAATAATTTATGCAGCTTCAACATCTCCTGGTCAACGTAATTTAAAAAAGAGAATAGCCTATTCTTCTGTATCTCATATGGGTTTTATAATTATCGGTATTAGTTCTATAACGGATCCTGGGCTTAATGGCGCTATTTTACAAATAATCTCTCATGGATTTATTGGCGCTGCACTTTTTTTCTTGGCAGGAACGAGTTATGATAGAATTAGGCTTGTTTATCTTGATGAAATGGGTGGAATGGCTATCTCCATTCCAAAGATATTTACAATGTTCACTATCTTATCAATGGCTTCTCTTGCATTACCGGGCATGAGTGGTTTTGTTGCAGAATTAATCGTTTTTTTTGGAATAATTACCAGCCAAAAATATTTCTTAATTTCAAAAATTTTAATTATTTTTGTAATGGCAATTGGAATGATATTAACTCCTATATATTTATTATCTATGTCACGCCAAATGTTTTATGGATACAAGTTAATTAATGTCAAAAACTTTTCTTTTTTTGATTCTGGACCCCGAGAGTTATTTCTTTCAATCTCTATTCTTCTACCCATAATTGGTATTGGGATTTATCCTGATTTTGTGCTCTCATTAGCAATTGACAAGGTCGAATCCATTTTATCTAATTATTTTTATGGATAGTTTTCAGGAAAGAAAAAAAAGCATTAAATTGAGTTGTAATCAGAAGTCTTTGGTTTTTGTATTGTGAGAACCTTTTGAATCATTGTACTACTTGATTCAAAAGGTTCTTGATGATTTACTACTAAAAACTAAATTAGATTTATTAACTTAATATGATATGAAGTTATATATAGATGCTATTCTTTTTTATTTGGATTCCTTTCTTTTTTGGTTAATGTTTTATTTAATTCGATGTAAATGAACCATAACTATGTAAACCTATTCCTAAAAGATTGACGCCAAAATAGCATATCCAAATTAAAAGAAAGCCTATCGAAGCCACAATTGCAGAATTTATACCCCGACCGTTCCTATTTGTTTTAATATGTAAATAAATTGCGAATATGGTCCAAGTAATAAATGCCCAGGTTTCTTTTGGATCCCAACTCCAATATGAACCCCACGTCTCATTAGCCCATACAGCTCCTGAAAGAATGCTTACGGTTAAAAAGATAAATCCAAAACTAATAATACGAAAACTCTAAAAATCTAATTGTTCAATCAATTGATACCTATAATAATTTATAGAAAAACTAAAATTAATGTTTTGTTGTAGTAAAATAGAATTTCTTTCATTTATGTAGTAAAGTACATCAAAAGAAAATAATTCATTTAATAAAAATTTTTTTTTTATATTCTTTTTCCAAAAAGTAGGTCCAACTTTTCGAAATGTAATGACTAGAAGAGCTATTGATAATAATGATCCGCATAACAGAGCGCCATAGCCTAATATCATCATACTTACGTGCATCATTAACCACTGAGACTGTAGAACTGGTACTAATATTACAGACTGAGGCATTTTGTTTAAAAGACCTGAAGTAGCAAAACCCTGAATAAAAATAGCACTTGGCGCAGTTATTGCGTTTAAG